CCTCCTCACTTTCTCCCCGACCGCCTTCATCCTTATTCTTCCATCTTCATTTCTTCATCCTTTCGGCTCTTTCGCTCGTCGCCGCTGCCGACTCACTGGCCTATGCGATCGTTACCGCTGCTGTCGTGTTGATCGACACTTCACCTTGGCTTCCACATTCGTTGCCCGTATATCCTTCGTCCATAATTCTTTGACCAAAGCCCGGTCTGCCCGCAAGGAGTGATCAGTCCAAGGCCCGATCTCAATACCGACCCGATCCGAATCTCTCGACGCTCGCTGACCAACTGCAAATTGTTGCTTCGACTACTTGCCGTACGACTTGCTTGAGGCCAACGTTGCTCCAACCCCGACACACTTGCGCGGAATACTTTGCAACCAATCGCTTTCTACGGCGGCAACGGAGATACATAGGCCTTGAGACGTATTCAACGTCACCGTCTCCATCCTACCGCCTGAATCGGTTTTGTTGCTTCGATCCATATAATTCACCAAATTCGACTTGAGCACCAGACACCTCTTCGCCGCAAATCTCACCAAACGGCCCGTTGATAGTTTGGTCTAACCAACCGAGCAACGTCGTTCTCGCTCCACCTTTGTCTTGGACTCTGACATCGTTGGCTTGCCCCTTAGACGGATTTTGAGACCTACCCAATCACACGTTGAACCTACGGTGCTCCTCGGATATCGTAGCATTCCAACGCGCCAATCTTCGATTCTTCGTGCCTGCTCAGGGCACGTCTAATCTTTCAAAACGGCGATTCTATCTCAAATCGGCCGGGACAACCTTGTCCCTCCGCATCTACTCGGGATGCAGGAAATTCAAGGACCCGTCGGCCAAGGCGGTCCCAGTGCTCCTGGGAACCGCTTCGGCCACGCCTCCAAGCCTTCCAACAGCGAAACTGGCTTCTCTCACGGAGCTTTCACTTCCAACATCTCTGGCTTCGCTGACAGACACCCTCGTCGTGGAAACATTCCCACCATCAATACTCAGCCCCTGAACCAGCTCCAGCATCAGCACCAGCACCAGCAGGCGCCGCCTTCCGCCGCTGACATGGCCACCCCTGGCACCGCTTTCGATATGCAGTTCACGCCTCTTCTTCCCTCCCAGCTGCTACTCGGAAGCCCCTTCCAGCCTGGAACCCCCGCGGCCTTCGCTAGCCCTCAGTTCCAGACCCTGCAGAGCTTCCAGCAAGCTCAGCACCAGAGTCAGCAGCAGCAGCACAACGGCCTGCAGAGTCCCGTTCAGCAGACCATGTCTCCTCAGCAGTACCAGGCCATGGTCTCTCCCTCAACCTACGGCGCTCCCCAGTTCTTCCAGCCTCAGTCCCCGACCGGCGGTAGCTTCAACAGCATGCAGATTCCCATGCAACCCAGCTCTCCCGTGTCAATGGGCCCGGGTATGGTCACTGGCACCAGCCGCACTGTCTACCTCGGCAATATTCCCCCTGACACTTCTGCTGAGGAGATTTTGGGCCACGTTCGTAGCGGACAGATCGAGTCCGTCCGTCTTCTCCCCGATAAGAACTGCGCCTTCATCTCTTTCCTGGACGCCAGCTCCGCAACCCACTTCCACTCTGATGCCATCTTGAAAAAGCTCTGCATTAAGGGCCAGGACATCAAGGTCGGCTGGGGCAAGCCTTCGCAGGTTCCTACCTCCGTGGCTCTGGCTGTTCAGCAGTCGGGTGCCTCCCGTAATGTTTACCTAGGCAATCTGCCGGAGGATATCGCTGAGGAGGAGCTCCGTGAGGACCTTGGAAAGTTCGGTGCTATTGACACGGTCAAGATTGTTCGTGAGAAGAGCATTGCCTTTATTCATTTCTTGTCTATCGCCAATGCGATCAAGGCTGTTTCCCAGCTTCCTCAAGAGCCAAAGTGGCAGGCCCCTCGTCGCGTTTACTACGGCAAGGACCGATGCGCCTATGTTTCAAAGACGCAGCAGCAGAACGCTGCTCAGTATCTGGGAATCGCGCCTGGCTATGCGCACATGCTTACTGGCGCAGACCGCGACGTGATTTCTAACGCACTGGCTCAGCAGTCTGTTGCCGCAGCTGCTGTTGCGACGACCGCTGGTGGCATCAACAATCTCGGAAACCGCACCATTTACCTGGGCAACATCCACCCCGAGACAACCATTGAGGAGATTTGCAACGTTGTGCGCGGAGGTCTTCTCCACCACATTCGTTACATCCCTGACAAGCACATCTGCTTCGTTACCTTCATCGACCCCACGGCCGCGGCGTCTTTCTACGCTTTGAGCAACCTCCAAGGTCTGATGATCCATAATCGCAGGCTCAAGATTGGCTGGGGCAAGCACTCTGGTGCTCTGCCGCCTGCTATCGCCCTTGCTGTTAGCGGAGGAGCGTCTCGCAACGTCTACATTGGTAACTTGGATGAGACCTGGACCGAGGAGCGACTGAGACAGGACTTTTCTGAATTTGGTGAGATCGAGCTGGTCAACACCTTGAGAGAGAAGAGCTGCGCCTTTGTCAACTTCACAAACATTGCCAACGCTATCAAGGCTATCGAGGCTATCCGCAGCAAGGACGAGTACAAGAAGTTCAAGGTCAATTTCGGCAAGGATCGCTGCGGAAACGCTCCCCGTCAGCTCCAACAACAGGCGCAGTCCCCTCGCACTGACGGTGTTTCGTCACCGCCACCCAATGGCTCCCAGAACTCGGGCTCGCCCACCAACGGCAACACACCCCAGCAATCCGCGACGATGTTCGGTTCAAACAACCACCCTCTGACGATGTACCTGAATCACGTTTCTCAGCAAGCGCAGCATCAGCAACATCAACAGCACCAGCAACTCGCTGTTCAGCAACAGGCCTTGTTCGGCACAGCCCAATCATCACCCAGCGAGCTGTCCATCGACATGCAATCCCAGGGTCCCATCTCCGGCCACCAACAGTCGGCCAGCATCTCCAACGGATACCCCCAGAGCGCTTCCGGTCCCGGCCCCACCACAATTGGCGGTCTTCTGGCCCCCGGCAACGGTAGAGGCCAGCACAACCGCGCCGTCAGCTTGCCTGCCCTGAACCCAGGTTTCGAGAACGGCGGCGTCCCCTCGGGCCACGACGGTGAGCAGCGCCGTGGACATCAGTACCAGGCAAGCTTCGGCGGCATGGGTGCTGGCTACGGTCTTGCCATCCAAGGAGGCCTGAATGGCTGGGTCGAAGAGGAGGTTGCCAACTAATGGCACCTACCTTACAGCTTGCTTCTCACCCCCCTGCACATGATGCAAAAATGGAACATAGCGGAAAGATTGGTTAATTGTTGTAATTGCATCTCACGTCTTTTGACTTCTTCCTTGATTCTTGATTCTATTTTCATTTTTTTGTCTCTTCTCATCTATAATTTCGTTGCCGGTTTGGCACAGTGGTCAGGGGCCGTTTTCTCGATCCCAGAGCTCGGGGGGAGACTTGCCACATAAAATTTCGGCACCACCTCTTTCATACATATGATTGTGGTCGAACATAGCAGCAGACACCAGATTATGATCGGCCTGGAACATGGCAGTCACGATCTATCGCCAATGTGGAATGGAAATGAGAGGCGGCTGGCTTAGGTCGGGGAGGGAGACATAGGATATAGCAGAAGGAGGTGATGTTGGCTTCATGGACCAGCATTCATCACTTGTGTGTCTATTTGAGCGTACGTCAGGAAAGCGTGGTTTCCCTGGACAAATGCAAGCGAATCTTTGTTTGCAAATTTCGTCCCTGCCCTCGAGTGATTTTATACGTGCAAGCTCAAGCCGATCGATGACCTACGCCGTGCGTCCAGTGTCCCAATATGGGCCAGTCACTTTCTTTCCACTGGTAAAGGCCATTGAGTCTCAAGTCCCAATCACACTAGATACTCTTCTCGATAGCAGCTTGCGAGTCTCATTTTCGATCTTGCATGGAGGCGATGTGAAAGTAGCGGCGTATTACTTCGGGTTTTTTTGTCGCGTCACTGGCTTCTTCTCATTGGCGGTGCCTTTCCCTGGCATTATTGCCGGAAGTCACCATCTTTCTATTATTTTGTGGCACACATCTGACGGGTATATGTTGGTTGGTTTTCTCATGGGGATGGATCAAGAGAAGGAGGCGGGGTTTGTTATCTAGGCTTTGGATTTTTTTTTTCCAAAAAACTTTGAATGAGCCATATTCATCAAGGCTGATGGTAACTTGGTTGGTGGATCGGGCAGGTCTTGTCTGTCTCGCCATTCTGGTTATGCCCCCCTCCCCCCCCCCCTCTACAGAGTCCCTTTGAGGGGGGATCAAATGCACAATGGCGTGGAGAAACAAGGTTCTGTCCCCTCTCGAGATTCAAAAATAGACTGGCAGACTGATTCAACAACGGAATCATCCCCAGAATCGTTCCTGGGTCTACTTGATTCGCGTTAGCTGAAGAGACTTCAAACGACAAGAACGAAACACTCCGATTGGCATCTCCTCGGTGATCTTTTTTCCATTAGTAGTCCCAATATTGAATCCCCTTCGTTTGTGGCCCCAGGATTTGACGAGGCCTTGATTGGCCCCTACAAGTCCTCGCATTCAGCGTGGTTGACACTTGAAGCGGCGACGAGCATGCAAGACGTTCGGCTATGGTGCGATGTGGCGTCCTTGATGTTAGCAGCCCTTCTGTGAAATCTGTTCTCCAGCAGAGCTTTGGCGAGCATCCGTAGGGTGTATCACTCGGTCTTCTCTGTTCAATGTTGCATGGCAGGCATTCGATTGGCATCCCGCATCAAAAGATGGAGGAACCTCCACTTGACGAAGCAGACAAAGAGTGGATAATGTTCTTAATATCTTCTGAGCGCCAGTAGCTAAGGACCTCCGTTTTCGGTCCTTCATAGTATGTCTATATAGTTCATCAAGTAAAACAACAACTTTTGGTGGATCCCCTTGTTTTTTTCTATCAGCTTCTTGTCGTGGCTCACCGTTCCGTGGCCGGGTATCAATACTGTCGTCAAAATATCACATTGCGAATTATGGTCTTGTTTGGTTTCGGTCCCTTCAGACGGTATTTCCTAGCGCAGGGTCGACGAACTGGGAAAAGTCCTCGTCGATGAGCGCGCGCATGGCCGCCTCCTCCTCCTGCCACGTCTGCGGCGGCGTTCCAAAGTCGTCGTCGGCACCAATCCAGAAGTCGTCGTTCGGGCCCGGGTCGCCACCGTCAAAGTCCGTCACGCCAGGGATGATGCCGTACAAGGGAAGCTCCGGCATCTCGCGGTCGCCGTCAAAGGGTGCGAGGTCGGCTTCACCGTTGGGGTCACCGCCCGCTAAGCTGAGAATGGCTGCTTCGATGTCCAACTGCGGGTCGCCACCGCTAGGGGCCGGTGGAGGATGGCCCTCGAGATGGACTTGGAGGTCGTGGTGACGGACGAAGCGGGCACCGCAGCCGCGGATCGTGCAGAGGATTGTGCGCTTCGTGCCAGCGAGATCGTCAATGATGTTGGGTGGCTTCTGGTTCGGCACCGGCCGCTCCAGACCCAGGTGGACGTAGCGAATGTGATCCTCGAGGTTGGCCTTGGTAACGAAACCTCCACCGCAGCCAAGATCGTTCGTCCAGCTCTCCAGGTCCGGGGAGCCTGTGACATCGACCTCGCCGCAGACGAAGCGGAATCCTTCGTGTGCGGTGCGGACGTGTACCGTCAGGTTGTGCTTCTTGGTGAATTTCTTGTCGCAACCCTCCCACGTGCAAGCAATCGTCTTGCGGGCGTCGACGGGAATGCCTGAGTGACGCATCTCAACGTGACGTTCCAACTCCCACTGTCCGGTGCACTTATACTCGCAGAAGATGCAGTTGAGATGTTCCTTGCGGATGTGCGCTTGAAGCAGCGAGATCGAGGTGAATCCAACCGTGGTCTCGCCGTCACCGCCGCATTCCTCACACCAGAACTGCGGCTCACTGTGGTCGCGCTTAGTATGGTTCCGCAGCGCCCCCTGAGAGTCGAAGCCGGCGCCACAGCCGGGTGCCGTGCATGGGTATGCGTGTGTGCCCAAGTGTTCTGATCGGATGTGTCGCTGGAGGGTGTTATGCTTGCGGAAACTCTGGGCGCACGGCGGAAAGTCGCGGCACCGGAAGCGCTCCTGGCCGGCATGGACGTCCTGGTGCCGGCGCAGTCTCGTCGCTGTCAGGAACGACTTGCCGCAGTCTTCGTGGGTGCAGATGTAGGCCCGCTCCTGGGTGTGGGAGCCCTTGACGTGCTGGCGAAGGTGCTTCTCCTCGCGGTAGTCTTTATCGCAGCCGGGGAAGGTGCACTTGAAAGGCCGGTCGTCCGTGTGGGAGCGGAGGTGGGCGGCCAGGCGGGCGGGTCGGTTGAAGGTCTTGTCGCAGTCCGGGTAGGTGCATGGAATGGTTTTGAGATCTGAGGGGAATTTGCGGGATCGAGTTGTGAGTGAGGTCTGACCTGTTATGACAGACTCTACCTCGGCGTCCGCGGTCGACCCGGAGTTGCTGGCGGTATCATCGTAGTCGTCGTCGCTGGCAGCTTCGCATCGTGTTAGCCAACCACACCAGTGTAGTTGAAGCGGGCTCACCAACCGGTGTCTTCCAGCGCCACAACCTTGGATCTTTTCGAATCCGAAGAGGGGGAAGCCTCTTGGACCTTCCTTTTCGTCATGATGAGCGATTGAGAACGGGCATTGCCTGCCTTGGCGATGAGGAATATCGAACGCCAAAGTTTTCGAGAGCCGGTGAACTTATTTCCTGGCAGAATTGGCGGATTCCTGGGCGGTCTGGCGAAATTTTGTGCGCTGCACCAGCCACGGATGGAGGGGCCGGGGTCGACTCGGTCCGGATAAGCTTTTTGTTGCTGATAAGGCTAGCGCGGATCCACCCAGCAAGTCTGTCAATCGTAGGTACCTCAGCCTAGTCAATAATTTTTCACGGCTGGGTCATGCAAACGCTCCGCTTGCGACAACCTGAAAACACGCGACGAACGTAGGAACCAGGACGCAGCAACGGATCGCATCATTCCAGAAGTCATCAACCTCATCAATTGACACTTCAAGATGTCTGACTTTGGCGATGACGATGTCGGCGGAGGGTAAGAATACATGCACTCGCTGTCTTCCAGGCTGCGGCGCGACCGCTAACGGCAATGCAGCGACGAGACCATGTACGAGGACGAGGCCGCCGACTACTGGGACCCCGAAGTTCCTGCGGATGATGAGGATGTTGGAAGGGCAGAGGGCGACGAAGAGGACGCGGACAACGTTGTTGCATCGGGCGACCCCTCCGCGGCAGCGAACGCGGGCAAGGGCAACGAGAAGTCGCACCGCGACAAGAAAATTCCCGATGACCAGCGTACGACGACTCCCTACATGACGAAGTACGAGCGCGCCCGTATCCTTGGTACTCGCGCCTTGCAGATCAGGTTCGTCACAACGAATCCCACCAAAACCAGATACCCCGCGATGAAATCGCTTTGCACGAGGTCAAACAAGCTAATGCGTGGATTAGTATGAATGCGCCGGTGTTGGTGGACTTGGAAGGAGAGACGGATCCTCTGCAGATCGCGATCAAGGAGCTCCGAGAGAAGAAGATCCCTCTTATTGTGCGCCGCTACATGCCTGATGGATAGTAAGTGCCGGACGAGACCCCTCCCCCGGACTGTCCACGCAAACCCCGTGAACATTCTGAATTGTTATCTCGAACCATACCCGGCTGACCTTGCGCGCCAATAGCTACGAGGACTGGACCTGCGAGGAACTTCTCCAGTGAGGGAACTACTGACTTTTCTCATCAAACTTTTCGGGGCAAGAGAGAGACGCGACTAGATGCAAGGCACCTTATACCCATCTCCTATTGTCGCTGCCTCAAGAATAGTCATACTTCCGACCAGAGTCTCCTACTATTGCTCTCGTACCAGCTCGCTTCGCCGTCGAGCCAGACGCTCGCAGGCAAGCTTGAGAAGAGACGATGCATCCAAACCTTTATAAAAAAAAGACACACCAAAGGGGTTAGTGTGCTGTACTTTGATTTTGCATTGAGCGTGGCGTTTTCTTAGGAAGAAATTGGAATTTTCAGACATCAAAGAATCGTCTCAATTGTGAGAGTGTCGTCTTCCCGTCACTTTTTTCTACTCCTTTCCTGGCTCAAAATGGCGGATTGCAGTGATATTCGACAGGATTACGTGTTCCTGCTCAGATCCTTGTATCGAGTGGCAGCCTGTAGTGCAACCATTGGGAGACGAGCCGGAACGCACCTTCCAACCACGAGAAGCGCACCCTCCGCCGACAGAAATAAGCGAGTGTCCGGCTTGGCGAGTCAGCGACCGATCGTCGCTTCCTTCTCGGCCGCGAGCCTCCCGCCTTCCGGAGCGCGACGGACCACGGACCTCGGCGCCATGGAGCCATGGAGCTTCCCTCAACGATGATGATCGGCGGCGTCAACGTAAACAACAACGTTTTCGTTTCGGCACAGCCCAGTTTCCTAGGTCTATTTTGATCCAATACCTCACAACCTAACGTACAAGATTCTTCCTGTTTTCTACCTATCTACCCATGCCTCCCTCCTTCTTCCTTTCAACTGAGGCTTGCTGGGGTAGCAAAAGGTTACAGGCAACGGTGGCTCCTCTCGCAGCTGAGGCTGATTGCAACTGGGGGAATGAATGGCTAAGAGGAAAATGTTAGCCAAGATCACACCTAAAAGACGTCCTGGACCTCCTTCTCATTGCTATGGAAGTCGACAAATGGTAATTGAAACCGAGTAGCTTCTCTCGAATCAAATGGCAATTGTGGTTCGATCCGCGGTCCAAATATGTCTACTAGACTAGTGACACTCTATTGCTTCCTATGAATACACTGCCCTCCAATCGCCTCGTTCTTGGCACAAAGGATATCTAAGTAACGGCGCAACAGATCGAGCCGGCCGCTACCAAACTGTCCTGTCTGGTCTTTCGTCCCCATTACTTGCATCTTAACAGAGAACGAAATCGAAAGATGACGACGCTTCCCAACATGGCGTTCTTCTCTCCTTTGCAGTTTCATTTCCCTACTATACCCCTATATCACACTTCCAACTGCCAACGGCTCGGACCTCCTCCGTCTCCCTCCGCCGGCCGCGTTCACGTTGTCCAACGTCCACGACGGATGCGGGTCATCCTCTCTACCTCCCTCCCTTCCCCCGCGTGACCTCTTGAACTACGCCGTCCATCACGGGAAAAGGTGACCCTTGCCCATCACCCGGAAATCAACCACCACCATCCCGCCCACACCACAACTTTGCTCCCGAACGCGAGACTGCGGTTGTCCGGCTTGGCACCCCCTTCCCGCGGACTTACATACTTCTCTTGGCTCCGCTTTGCTTCCAACACTACGCCGCGATACCCTACTGCAGCTTGCCCTTGGCGTTTTCGCTTCTACTTAATTTTTTGCCTTGCGTCTTTTCGCAAAGCTGTGCATGTATACTCGCAGCCATGAAGCGTCGTCATGCTGTTCTATTCTCTCCCACTGCCTTGTACGCTGTGATCCTTGTGGGCCGGAATCCCGACTAGCTGGATAGCTCTGTAGCTTTTGCTTGCCACCTTTCTTAGAGGCTTCCCTGGACCTGGAAGAGGAGAAACTTCCCTTGCCATCGACTAGGAATCGACTTCCCGGTAAGAGTAGTGGAGGGCAACGGAGCGTAGAACCGTGATCGTCACTCAACCCACTATGTTGACCGGCCTCTTGCCAAGGGCCGCTGCGGATTCCTAGCCACGCTATAAAGAGCAGAGTCAGCAACCCCCTTTCGAGGAGAGGAACATGGCTGAACAAGGCAGACATCTCATCCTCAGCCTGGCTTCCTTCCCCCTTCCCATTTTCGCCATATCCATTAGCACAAGTCCTTCAAGCCGGCAAACGCTGGCTTTTCCCAAAAGCCCCTTTGCGTTGACTCCCAGCCAGCCGGCCCCTTCTTCCCGTCGATTTCCGGACCTCGCAATGCTCCCCCAGGCCTCCGTTCTTGCGGCCATGTTGCCGGCCCTGACACTGCTCCCGGGCGGTGTCCGCGCCCTCGTGGCACCCAGGGCGATTAACCACACCCAAGAAGCCATCGACTCCGGCGTCGTGCTATCTGACCTCAACAAGCAGGCCTACAGCAATGTCCTCGCTCGTCTCGGGAATGCCACATCGGCCGTCCAGAACGGCACCGCGCAGTGCACAAAAGACAACATCAGAGTTCGTCGCGAATGGTGAGTCTGTCCCAGTCTTTTGGTCTCTGTTCATGGCCAGTCTCGCACTTCATCGGGAAACGTATGTCACTGACATGAATGTGCTTTTTTCACAGGAGGAACATGCCGGATGAAGAGCGCATCAGGTACACCGATGCCGTGGCCTGCCTCCAGCAGCAACCGGCATTGTATACCGACATTACTGGCTCCAAGTCAATGTTTGATGACTTTGTGGCCCTGCATCAGAGCGCTACACTTTACATCCATCTGTCGGTAGGTTGCGATCCATAAAGAAGTCCTCGCGTGTGTGGAATCCCTCTGTTAACCCGGCACTTGTCTCAGGCAACGTTCTTTCTCTGGCACCGTTACTATATATGGACGTATGAGAGCAAGCTAGAGTCGGAGTGCGGCTACAACGGTACGCTCATCGCTTTCACACATACCTGAACACTGAAGTGGAAGCACAACTAACATAAAGGGTACCACTAGGAACCTTCCCCTACTGGGAATGGGGCCTCGACACGGCCAACCTCTCCGCGAGCCCCGTATTCGACGGCTCCGCGACCTCGATGGGCAGTGACGGCGCCCCGACCCCGCATGAGGGCCTTGCACTCGTGAACGCGTGGGACAACACCACGACGGTGCTGCCCGCCGGCACGGGCGGCGGCTGCGTGGTGTCGGGCCCTTTTGCAAACCAGACGGTCCACCTCGGTCCGCATGCGATGCCGAACTACGGCAGCATCACGTCCCTCAACTCGGCTACGCCCACCGACGACAACCCGCGGTGCCTGCGCCGCGACCTCAACGTGTACCCGCTCCAGCGTTGGGCCAGCCTCCGCAACACGACGGAACTGATCCGGGACGCCGGGGACATTGAGAGATTCCAGGCTGTTGCGCAGGGAGACCCGCGATACGTCGGGGCCGGGCAGCTGGGGGTCCACGGGGCCGGGCACTATGCGCTGGGCGGTGACCCTTCGAGCGACGTCTACCTTAGTCCCGGCGATGCCGTGTTCTATCTGCACCACGCTCAGATGGACCGGGTCTACTGGATCTGGCAGAACTTGGACTGGCAGAATCGTCAGGTCAGTGGCAAATCACAGTCGCTGCTTTCGTGACCTTTTCACTCGAATTTTGCTTGCGTGTTGTTGTAGTTGGCGGGTGAGAGGCGTACTGACTTGAACAATAGGCCATTTTCGGTACCAACACCACCATGAACCAGCCGGCTAGCGACGAGGTGAAGCTCGATGATGTGGTGTTCATGGGACCTCTGGGCGCCGAGCTATCTCTTCGCGATGCCATGGATACCGTGAACGGACCCTTCTGCTATGTATACGCATCGGACTGAAGAAGATTCCTCAGGGTACGGGACCTCGGAGGGTATCAGGTCGTTTTGTGTCGACCAGTTACGATCTGGCATTATCTCGTGATAGCGGTGCTTATGTGTAAGTTAGACAAAATAATAGAGAAAGAACTTGTGATAAGCTGTCTGCTCAAAGGGGAACCAGCCTCAGTTTTGGCAGGATGAAAAGTTTGGGTACAGCCAGTTTCTCTTGGCATAACATAGCTCCGTCGCGAACCTGTGTGAGAACATGGGACGAGCAGGCGGTCTGTAAATCAGAACAAACTCGAACAAGTGGGATGCGAGTCAGGCGTCCCTCCCACAGTCGAGGATTTGAAGTGAGGCCAACGAACGAGCATAGCAGGTAGCTTGAGAATAGAGTCCTACTCCGGGCTCTGGTCCTAAAGCAGTTGTACGCGCCGTCTTGGGTGCTGTTGAGAATAAATGTCCGAGCGATCCCGTTCGCCGTCATTGCGGGTGCGGTTCTATGAGACTTTGCACCACACCAGGGGATAACCTGGCTTTTTCAACCGCCGGGCATGCCGGCCGTCCGGGCGGGCTGCATGACGTTCGTGCCGTCATGGGCAAACATACGGAGGTGCCGCTTTGCGGCCCGTCACCCGAGCGGTGGCTCCCTTCCTATTCTTCCGGTTCGTCACGATCGCCCTTTGACGAACCACAGACCAGACGTAGACGTGTCGGGGGTAGACTGAGCTTAGTCTTCATACGGTAGCTTCAAACGTCTGCTCCGTCGAACCCGAGTCTTTCGTAGTGTCTGTTGGCGTAGAGGTCAAGTGGGCACGATCTCTGCTCTCGTCTCTGCGCCGGACCAAATCACCCATGCCCGAGGTAGCTCATTCGTCACATTGGTATATTGGACCAAAATCGACAAAGTTGTTGGCGTGAATGATGGGACAGCTTCCTCCAAGCCCGAACAGCAGCCACCAACATGTCATCCATATTCGCGATCGCCAGCTAGTGCAAAACCGAGTGAAACAGAGCACATCCAAAGTCGTCCGTCTCGCCCTCCTGTTCCCGAAAAGCCCGCCAAACATAGAGAACGCGAGTCCCTCGTCTCTTGTTGCTCTGCTGGCAACGGCGTGTTCCTCTACTCCAAACCTCCAGGCCTCCGTCGTAGTCGTCCGAACCCGAAACCACAAACGGCGTGGATCATGGCCTCAGTGTGCTCCGGTCTCTTGAGTTTTCGTGGGCCATGCCTCGCTTGCTCGCGTGTTGTCGTTCGAGAATGCGTGAACGGACACTCGGCTCTCGGACCCATGCGATTCCATCCCAACGGTCGTCCCTGTGACAAGACAGCATGAACCTCTCACATGCAGACTTGCGCTCGGTGGCAGTGGATCTGGTACCTGCTTGCGGCCGCTCCTATTTGCTGAAGAGATAGATCGCAAAACATCCAGCTTTTGATATGCAGGATGCAGGAAACCAATTGTATGCCTCCACAAGCCAGCCAGAGTTTGGGTTTTCTGGATAGCTTGCGAAGATGACCGAATATAGTGTGGCCTGTCCATTGGAAGACTTAGAAGGCCGCCATGTATTCCACACTATGTTGTGAAGAGCATCTGGCGGAAGGCGAGGTCAATCGGCTCCCCATCACCTGCTCTTCATGAAGTGAAGTATTGGCTGTGCCGTCGATCACATAGACGCTGCTTCTTCAATCATGCCATATCAGCGAGGGCCAGCCGATCCTTTGGAATCGAGTTCAACAGGTTGGCCAGTGCTGGGGAACGGCGTGTAGTTGACCAAAAGAAAAAAAGTACGGCAATATACACTGAAATACGATGCAGAGTTTCAATGCCTTGAGTCGGGACATTGACTTTCCGCGCACTGGACGTCCCCCAAGGATGCCTACGGTAGGAAGCAGAGAGAGGATACGTGAACGAGCAGGATGAGGCTTTGGTCATTTCGCATAGGATCGAATGGCATGAGGTAGGGCCTCTAGGTGGACGAAAGTTGAGTAGAGGCTTCCATTGATCAATGGAAAGAAAGTCTGCCGGGAAGGGAGCTGTTGTTCTGGACCACTCAGCTACGGGACAGGTACCGACTATCGTACCGAAGTGTCGAAGCACAGGCGGGTACCGCCACGGGAAAGTGTCTCCTAAGCTTGCCGGGCCAGATGACGCACACCCCACCTCAGCACCTTCGGAGATAAGGCAACTGCCACCCAGAGCTCGCCGGTCCCGCAGGAACAATGCGGGGTTCGTTGCAGCAGCATGAAGTGAAAAGACCTTACCATCGAGCACCTACCCACACCACACCGCACCGCATTACAAACGCAAACTGGACCGCCGCGAGAGGTAGCTGTACTTTGCCAGGTAGCTTTACCACCTTGAGCATGTTACTCGCCCTCCGTAAGTCTGCCTAGCCTCTAGCAGAGCACACGGTACCCTGCCAGGTGAGACCTTGAAGGGGTCGCTCTCCATCCCTGCTGGGCGTTCGGCGGTCCATGGTGGGGAAAAATTGGCATCATCACGACTAAGGGACAACGGTCAATGGCAGGACTAGAACGACCCAGGAGGGGGGTAAAGATGCAGCCATCCATCCAAGCCAAGCTCCTCCACTTCTCCGATCTGATCTCTATGGACTTAACTCGGTGTTTTATTTATTAGACTCCTCGGGTGCCGCCCTCCTCTCGATACCCAGGCCCTCCTCTTCTTCTCCTCTACTTCCAGGCATAGAATAATTTCAGCTCTTCTTCTCCTTCGTCTTCCGTCACCACTCTCACCTCCTGTCTTGCTCTTACTTGACTTGAACAGCATTATACCCCCCAATTGACTCTATTCGATACCCAACTTACCCTCCCAAACCCCAGACCAACAGCAACCATGGCCACCGCCGTCTTCCAGACCAAGGCGACCATCACCTCCTTCGGGGGCCAGCTCCACAAGCTCTCCCACAAGTCCACCTCCACCGGCACCGATATGGCCGTGAACCTCTACCTCCCACCCCAAGCAACCACCCGCGCCGTCCCCGTCCTCTTCTACCTCTCCGGCCTGACCTGCACCCCGGACAACTGCACCGAAAAGGGCTTCTTCCAATCCCAGGCCTCGGCCCGCGGCGTCGCCATCGTCTACCCGGACACCTCCCCGCGCGGCCTCGACCTCCCCGGCGAGCGCGACTCCTGGGACTTTGGCGAGGCCGCCTCCTTCTACGTTGACGCCACCCGCGAGCCCTTCCGCCAAAACTACCGCATGGAGACTTACATCACAAAGGAGCTCCCCGAGTTGCTCTTCCGCGAGTTCGCCGGCAAGCTCGACCGCTCCCGCGTCTCCATTACCGGACACTCCATGGGCGGTCACGGCGCCCTCTCCCTCTACCTCCGTCACCCGGGCATGTACCGCTCCGTCAGTGCCTTTGCCCCCATCGCCAACCCTTCCAAGTGCCCCTGGGGCGAGAAGGCCTTTACGGGTTATCTCAGCAACGACCGCGCCGAGTGGGCCAAGCACGACTCGACCGAGCTCGTCAAGAACTGGAGCTACGGCCCCCTGAACGCCCTCATTGATGTTGTAAGTTTGAGCTTATTCAACTTGGAAGACGGAATATGAGAAAGTTAACAATTCCACTAGGGTCTTGGCGACAACTTCTACATCCAGAAGCAGCTGTTGCCTGAGAACTTTGAAAAGGCCGTCAAGGAGAAGGGTCTCGAGGGTCTGAGCCTGAGATACCACTACGTAAGTTGCGCCTGTTCACCTTGAAAGACATTCCAGATGCTAACGGCTGAATGACCAGGGCTACGACCACTCCTACTTTTTCATGGCCTCCTTCGCCAAGGATCACGTAGACCACGCTGCCAAGCACCTGGGTCTCGGCTCCGCGTGACTCGACGGTCGGACAAGACTGTAAACAAGTAAACGAAAATGTTCAAGTCGGATGACGGGAGCGCATTGGCAGATTAGTTCAAGCCGAGAAGGAATACCAAGATGCTGTGAACAGACGCTGCGAACAGAGGGATGTTGCGCGCGCGAGCACAGTCAATATCTAGTTTCTTCACAAGTAGGTAGTAGGTTGCTGAAATTCTTGAAATTTGAGAATAATAATTGACGTTCATCCACCCCGTTCCAATCATAACTTTCGTGAAGACGAAATAAAAAACCCCAAAGCACCTTTCTCCAGCCGCAAAAGATATCGTGCGGATGACATGAGTGTTATATAGCAGAAACGCCAGTGTCGGGTAAAAGAGAGAGCGCCGGCCGTGGTGTGAATATATCTAGGAGAATGCAACCAAAGTAGACAGGAAAAGCGCCTAGCTGACCCGTTTCTCCACCTCGGGATTTAAGCCCTCCTTTTCGAGCTTCGCCCGCATCTCGGCGTCCATCTCCCTGCGTATTCGATTGTAGGCCAGTTTCTCGAACCGGCTGAGGGCCTTCCACCAGTGCTGCCCCGCCTCGTGCTCGCCGATGCGTTCCAACAGGTCGGCCGTCTTGAGGCGCACTTCGCGGTCCTTGTGGAAAAGGCCCAGTGCGACGTAGAACAGGCCAGCGTGCGACTCTGGCGCAACGCTCAACAGTAAGCAGATCTCGTCGTAAGAATGGACGTATTTGTGAAACGCAGCGTAGATTTCCTTGCTTTGCATCGGGTTGAGCCGCTGTGTCCGTAGTCGGTCATGCATATGGTGCAAGTCGAGGCCTTTCAGCGGCCTCACCGTATATAGTAATGCGAGATCCTGCGACGTTTAGTTCAACATAATTGGTGACGTTGACTGGTGGCCGATGTCTCCCTTACCTGGATAAAGCTGTAGTAGCTCCTTGTGTTCCTCCATCCTTCGATTCTCGTCACATTGCCCGCAAGCTCCTTGTGTTTCGACTGTTCATCAGGCCACACGTAGCCGTGCCCATTCACACCCACAGGACCCATCTCCAGCTCGTCGCCGCCAATGTAAAGAGCACTTGCGCCGTACACACTTTCCTCGAACGCAGCTGCAATTCGTGTGAATTTGATAACCCAGTCCCGCCATTTGGCACGTATTACTCTTTCGCCATGCCTGGCCG